GAGGAGGGTCCGACCGCTTTGGTGGGCATGGAAGGTAGTTAGGGTAAGGGCCATAAAGCGGAATGCATGAACCTGCCTTCGGAGCAGGGGCCCTTCGACAGCATCTGCACTATCTGGCGGTGGGAGAAAGGGCTCTCAGGATACAGAGTCAAGGCCAGAGGGAATATGAAAGTAGGATTGCTCATAATGCTGGACAGTACCCAAAAGCCTACTAAGACTACGTGCAATCAGAGGCCCACTCTCAGTTAGCGGTAGGGAATGTAGTAAGTGAAGAAGGCGTTAGTGCGGCCACCAGCAAGGAGAAGGCTGAAATCCTAAAGAGCTTATTTGAGAAAGTCCACATAAAGGACTTGGGACATCCGTTGCCTGACCTATTGGGAAGGCTCCCGAACAGCACATGGCAACGTTTGTTTTAGAGGAAAAGGAGGTAGAAGCAGCACCAAGGCANCCTTGCCTCAGCAACCCTACCGTCCAACTGGACCACGGCAGAAGTGGTGCCAATCCACAAGGGAGGGTCAAGGGCGGCTGCATCGAACCATCGTCCAGTAAGCCTGCTTTCGGTATTCCCGAAAACCTTCGAGCTTTCGTTAGGGAGAGGTTGGTGGAATATTTGGACGACCAACACCTCATAGCAGGCCAACAACACGGCTTTGTCAACAGGACGTCTTGCCTCACTAACTTCCTATCATTATCATTTCTGGACAAGCCAACAGAAAGGTTGGACGCAGGGGATCCAGTCGAAGTTTGCTACCTTGATTTCAGTAAATCCTTTGACTCGGTCAACCACAGGTTTTCCTGCGCAAACTGGAAGCCCTTCGGATAGACCAGCAGGTAGTGAGATGGATTGAAGCGTACCTACACGAGAGTACGTTCAGTGTAAGGGTGAAACAGAAAACCTCGGGAACGGCAGCAGCCTATAGTGGGGTACCTCAGGGCTCAGTCCTTGGTCCCATACTATTTGTGCTGTATGTTAATGACGTCACCGAGGTCTTCCGGAGTCCCGGGTTCCTATCCGCGGACGACCTCAAAGTAGTGGGGATCAACCAATTCAACCAATAAACCGAATCGTACTTGAGTGATGCGTAGCCGGAATAAATATGAATCCTGAAAGAAAACACGATTGATCCGTAATGTTCTACGGTACTGAATTAGCGAAATCATTACAAAATGTACAAAAAGCAAACCTCAAATATGCGGCCAAAAGCACTCAAGCAAGCGATCCAAGTATGATGTCCAGAGAGAGGCAAACAGTCACTCACGTTCTCAAACCACGCAAAATTCAAGTGTGCCAGGCATCGAATTACCAGATAAAGAATAATGTATGGTGCTTGTGATTGAGAACTGTCACTAGAGAAGTAACACACAGATAGGGTTGTCACCATAAATCATTATGGGTTTGGAAGGATTTTCAAAAATTAAACGCAAAATACACCCTTACGGTCGGTTTTATGTGACATGGCAACAACTAGGGCCACAGCTCTCTGATGATGTCAGATTGGGCGTTTGCTGAGCCGTTTAGTGCGTAGACGCACCAAAGACCTGCTTGGCGTCATGTCACCAATCAGATGATGAGCCAGCAAATGGCGTAACCTCGTTAGAGGGGGTGTAGAACTGAAGGATTGCAGCCTTCAGAACGTCGTACGCGTTCTTCTCCGCCCGCTTAAGAATAATATCCCTAAAGGCGAACAGTCGGTTGCCAGGGATTATCTCTACCGCGTAAACGTATTTGAAGCCCTGGCTCCGCACGTTACGGGCGATAAACTGCGTTGCAAACTCAGTAAACCACACCTCACGGTCGGGAGGGATAAAAGCTACTGGCTTAAAACTAATAGCCAATAGGTCTAGTTCCCTATCGTCTACTGGTGGACGCTCCTCAACCATCGAAAATGGCGATAAATAATTATATCCTGCAAATGAAAATGAACCGTGAGGAAAAAGTGCAAACCAAATTGGATTTAACTTACAAAGTAGACGATGCGGGCTCACCAATGAAGCTAACCGGTGCTGAGGGTCTGCCGGTAAGCCTTCTTACGAGTCTCAAAATGCGCGCGACCTCCTAGTGTCTCGTTGCTCGAGGTAGACAAAAACACTCGTTGGATTCATAGACGTTTATTGGCGAATCGTGGTACTAAATGGTACCAAAACGTGCCGAAGTGACACTAAACAATGCAAGCGATAAATGCAGTAGCAAAGCAAAAGCGTTACACGTGTTGCGTGGGTTTTAACGGGACCCAGCTCATATATACACCTAAGCGGAAAAACGTGCTCAGCAAAAGTATAACAGTTGGAGTCAAAGTTGATTGCGAAGAAAATTTGAACAGAAAAACGTCCTGGTGGATTGTTGTTTTGAAGTCTTAAAGTGATTTACGGGTTCGAGGCTGTTGCCCAATGTCCCGGGCCCTTGAAAGGTATCTGTGTTTTCTTTTGGTTTGAATTATTTCTAGAACACAGACTACTGAAAAGGGATTAGTAGGGTTCCCCGCTCGAGGCGAGGAATAAAATGAAGACTTGCGAACTCTTATATAATTCAAAATGTGTTTTTTATTGGGGGAGAGTAGATAAACCTAAGTGGCGGTCAAGACGAAGTTTGAAGACCGCCTTGTTGGAGGCGCTGACTATCTCTTCTGGAAGGGCATTCCATAAGGATATCACCTTAAAGGTAAAAAATGAGGTACGTAGAGTGGCTCTCGAACGGAGCTTGAAGATTTTTTGCTATGACCTCGGGTAGGCTGAGTCAGCAATGACAAAAAAGGTTTCGACAGTGCCCGTGTTGAACAGATGGTAGAGGAGAAATAGATCTCCTCGGATGCGTCTGATTTCTAGCGGATTAGGGCCCAGTTGTTGGAGCCGCGTTGGGTAGGGGAGGTTCCTGACTCCAAGGACGGATTTTGTAGCGGCTCTCTGGACGCGCTCAAGGCAGTCACGATCACGGATGAGGCCAGTGTGCAACTTGGCTTCCATATTCTAAGGGAGGGCGGATGTATGTTCCCTAAATAAGGGTAAAGTCATCCTTAAGAATACGGGGGAAACATCTTTTGATAAGGTTCAGGACTCGAAAAGCGGCCTTACTGGCTAGATGGTTATGATAAGAGAAAGACAGATTGTTGGGTAACCAAAAACCAAGAACTTTGTATTGGTCCACTTGGGGTAGTAGGTGGGAACCTTCTATCGTAAAAGGGTGAGAAGGGTGACCACTGAACGACATCCCAACACACTTGTCATTGTTGATTGGAAGCTTCCAGTCCAGTGACCAGCGTTTGGTAGTATTAATTGAGATCTATAAAAGAGAGCATCTGCATCCCAGATGGTGACATCATCGGCGTACAGTGCAATCCTTGATGACACTACATCGGGTAGGTCATTAATATAAATGAGGAAGAGAATGGGTCCTAGAACAAAACCTTGGGGAACACCGGTCGTAATTGGCACTACATCGGCTAAGTCATTTATATAAATGAGGAAGAGGATGGGTCCTAGAACAGAACCTTGGGGAACACCGGTCGTAATTGGGCTTGGTTGCGCTGAGGATTTGCCAACACGAGCAGCAAATGAGCGATTTGAGAGGAAGCTTCGACTAAGAGTAAGCAAGGGGTCTACAATGCCGTGTGCCGTGGTTTGTGGAAAAGGGGGATGTGTGGAACCTTGTCAAAAGCCTTCGCGAAGTCAATGAAAACAAAAAGAGGTGTGTGGAACCTTGTCAAAAGCCTTCGCGAAGTCAATGAAAACGGCATGAGAGATGTTGCCGGAATCGTAGGCTTTAGTCAGGCTATCCATGAAAGTCAGCATATTAGTGATGCATGCCCTGCCAGGTAGAAATCCGTGATGGAAACGAGAGAGGAAGTGATTGGTCCTAAGATGCTTCAGGATTTCGTCCTTAATTAGACGCTCGAAAATTTTGCTGGGGATGCTGGTTAGGGAGATGGGGCGATAGTTAACAGGGAAGTGCCTATCGCCCTTTTTATATGCGACAAATAACGGCTTCTTTCCAACTTTTGGGAAAGATTCCCTCGTTCATACTGCGTTGGAAGAGAAGGGTG